CCTTCAGGGAAAAAACTGTTCCTCAAGTCAGTCCTCAAAGTACCCCCAATTAGCTTCTGCAATAAAAAACTTGCTTATGCCAAGCATTCCCATAATTCCAAGTCCTGTTGTAACTTAAACGGTAGTGCCAATGGCGGAGCATTCCTACACACACCTTAACGATGGAGGGATCTGTGAAGGTCTCATTGAGGATGTACATCTCACTGCGCAACTCCAATGTATCAATAATGAAATCTTCGTCTCTGGTCGAGATCTGCATCAGACAGGTCAATCCCAGGAAACTCCTGTAGGAATGGTGCTGAAGGAAACAATACGTGATCAGGCGGAATGGATGGAGCAATTTCGTTTTTTAGGAAGGCTTTTAATAATATCTGCAGGGTGTACAGTGGACTCTCCTACCACATAAAAGCAACAGCCATTAGACATGAACGCTGTTTTAAATTTTAATGCTGCCAAATTATTATTACTTCACACGATGACCCCAGGTGGCATGGTGGCACCGTGGTTACCTGCCTTGCATTGCTGGTGCTCTGGGTTCATTTCCCGTTGGACTATGTGTGTGGAGATTGTATGTTCTCCCCAGGTTGACATGGGTTTTCCCTGGTGGGGGTGTGTGTGTGTCCTGCAATGGACTGCTGCCCCATCCAGGGTGCATCCTGTCCTGAGCTCGCAGTTGAAAGGTCAGGCTCCAGCTCTCCCCAAAACCCTGTACTGTGGTAAAGTGGTCTAGAAATTGAACAGATGGATGGATAAGATGGCCTGAGAACAATCAAGCTATATTAAAGGAGGGAACGTGCTGAAATAAAAATCCGCACTTCAGAATTAACTTTGAAGGGCCGTTTTCTGGGAGCTCAGGTTAGATATGTCTAGGTACAAAACACAGAAAAGGGCAACTGGCTTTAAAACAAACCTCCAGATCCACTGCAAACTCAGAGCACTTGGCCAGTTTTTCATTCAGTTCAACCAGGTCCTCCATCGAGTTGATAAATTGGCAATTTGTTTCTGCGAGCGGTTTATACATCTGGAAAACAGCAATGAGAACTGACATGTTTCTACAAAACCCTTGCATTACAATAAAAGATACATAAGGCAGTCTACAACACCTACTTGGGGTTCTGGCTTGGAAAGCAAATTCTCTGGCACAGTAAAATGGTCCAGCTCATACTGATATGGGTGAGCAAACCTGCAGATAGAAAGATAAGTCTCAGAGATCTGACTTCACATTCAAATCTTAGGGACATGCATTTCAATTATAAAAGACCTACAAATGCCTTGCTAAAAAGAATAGAAAGTCAGTGAACGAATACTATTCTGCATGTTCTTCAGAACTTCACCAGTGAAACAATAAATTGCACCCCAGTGCAAACAATTACTGCAGATACAGACTGATGAGGACTCCCATCCTTCAATCAAGGCTAGTAGTGAGGTGCTACCCTCTACCATAGTGAAAGAAGGGTAATTAAACATTTACCCAGGCTTTTAGAAGAAAACATTTTGATTTCAAGAAAGTATATAAGTTGTGTGGCAGATTCCAAGCAATACAATATAAAGGTTACAAATAAGAGCATTACAATCAACTCCTCTTAGACTTAACTGGTTAGTTTTAGGCAAATGCCTTAAAGCAATACAAGACACGATAAAGTCCACTCCACGGTACACTTGTTTTATTTTACAATGGTATATATATCCAATAACCACTGGCTCTCTCACATGTCATCTAGATGCTGCTGTGTTCTCTGCTGGTGGATAAAATCTGCCAGTGCTGGAGGCACATCCAGATCTTCAGGCCTCTCCTTGCGGATTTTTTGGTCTGTAAAATCTTAAAAAGACAAACGAGTAAAAAGAATCAGACCTACAATGTCAAAGACCGATCATCATACCTGCATTGCCTCATACAAATTCCTTTTCCAGATGACATTTGCAAGGTCAAAGACGCTTGGGACCAACTTACACGTTGGAAGGGATTTCAGCGCGTTGGGTTTGACGAAGATCTTGGGGACGAAGGGTGTGTTAGAATTGTCGACCTTCTCCCGAAACTTCAGCTGAGGACGCTGAATGTTTTTTGCGTGCAGAAGGCGAAATGTCTCAGACTTGGCCGCCTTGCTGGAATCCCTGCTCTAGGAATCAAGAGACAAGGGACTTTTGCTGGATGCTATTAAACAGAGCAAGTTATGAAAAAACACAGGTAAGCACGAGACATCCACTTTCCTAAAGCCAGACAGACTGTGAATTGGGAATTCCGAACCCTACAATGGCTTTCCAACATGGAGATGGAAGGGGTCTACTGTGGGAAGCCAGGAGTATGGAATTTACAGATTGATAGAAGTTCCGATTTATCCAACACCTGAAGCCTGTGAATTGGCTTCGTGAGTTCATGGTTAGCCATGAGCGGTCTTACCTTGCGGTTCCAGCTAGATACGATGGTCTTTGGAGGCTGAATACCAGCTGGTAAGATGGGCTGCTGGTTCCTGTTCACTCCTGAAGCCTCATCCAGTAGTATTCCCTGCAAAAACAACAACAGATATAATTTAAAGCCAATCATGACAAGTTAGATATATCAAGGGTTTGAGAAGAATATGCATTAAAAAAATTATACATCAACTCAGAATCAGCTTTAAGCAGGGCTCCTCAAGATTTGCAATACAAGTTATAGTTTAGTAACCAAAATGCTGGTTTAACAAACCTGGTTGGTGAAGGGTGCCAATTTGTTTTTGTGTGCTTTATACTGCTCTTGAACGGCTTTTTTACCAATTCAGCCTTTATTGTCTCATTTTACAGCACACTCCCAACAAAACACAATGACGGACAAAATCTTAGCAACCAAAAAGTCAGTGCAACAGTGTTACAGCTTTTAAAACTATCTCTGCCCTTCGAGCTGCTTTGATTAATCTGATAGTTGCTTTTTATCCAAAACGATTACTGCTTTTGTAAACGGTTCTCAGTTTTAAAGTTTGGACTCTCGTTCAAAGGAGTGAGACCCATGACCTTTTGGGCAGACCAGAGCCCTAAGCCTTCTACCATTCTGGACCTGGTTTTACATTGAAAAGGCTGTCCAGGAAAAAGATTATACTGTACCACTCTCTCCAGTATGACATCATTGGAGTCAACCAGCAAGTCGAATCTCTCCTCCAGGCCAGTCACTTTGTTGCGATCTCTCATGTGAGATTTGCAGCTATGGTACTGCATCAGTTGACTCATACTGCAAAGACATCCATTACATCGTCACAAGCAATCTTAAAGACACTAGAACCACTTCAGAGATTTACAATGTCTCTGTATATTTTCATGTATGAATTCATGTACACAATTATATGCGTGCATGCATAAGCTGATAATGCAAATAAAACTAATAACACAGAGAGAGCTTCAGACAAACTAGTAAAAATCTGACTGATCTAAACAGCACTTCACTACTACCAGATCAGCTACTGACGTAGCTAGAAAGAACTCCTAGGACTGTACACGCATGAAGTCGCTTTTACACAGGATCTAAACGATACAGTTATTAATTTCACCAGCATCCATTCAGAAATGCTTTTTATGTTACATACTGAATCACATTTACTATAACTGCCTACCATTGCAAAAGTCTTTCTCCCTGCGTTTCGCAGAACTCCTGGAATCCGGGAAAGCTCCGGTAGAAGTCGAATTCGTCCCCAGCCTGCGGCAGATTTGCAGAAGCTTTCGTGGCCGCTACTACAGTTCCCAAGCCGTGCTGTAAAACAGATTCAAAGAGCCACTTGTCAAGAGCAGCCAGTCAAAAACCAATTGAAACTAAACAACCGAAACACGATACAGATGCGTATGCTCGTACAATTTAAGGTTTATACTCCACAACGGCAGTGCTTCTTATCGAGCATATCACACTGTGGATTTTGCACACTTTTTTAATGGTACTTCTTAAAACGTCGGGAAAGGTAAAACCAGACATTTCCACGTTAACAGCAAAGCTCGTTGCATTTTTAGGGGGAACGCACGGAGATAAAAATCTGCACCTTGTGGTATAATACTTAAAAAACGGTAGCCATCACTCATAGAGCCTTATAAAGCGTGACTACTCTGCACCTTAATCACACCGTCTTTTTTTATTAATTACACCGTTTACAGCTGAGCTGGTAAACACGCCACTCGTGAACCCTTATTCACCCACAGGCCTTTATACGAGAATGACCGGGGGGTATTCACCAATAATTCGTCCACAAACCTTCACAAATGAATCGGCATCCTTAAAGCCGGGCAAAAGTTCTGGTTTTTCGCCCTCTGCCTCTTCGTTTGTCGGAGAAATATTATTTCCCTTGCCTCTGCCACTCCTGCTCGTGGACGCTGCCATCTTGAAAATGTTAAAGTCACGCGAGACGTGGACTCCTCTTAGGGGAGGGGGAGGAACCGGGCGGCATGGCCGAAGAAAATAATAAATAATAAGACCAACAGTACCTAATCAAAGTATGATAACAATAATAATCCCTTGTATTTATATAAAACTTTCATTTCAAAGTGCTCCTCCGCCGCCACCACTCTAGAGCAGCACTCTTTTTGAGTAAAACGAGACAACGATTCGACACCAGCAGATTCGATACACAACAGACATCGCTATGAGGTTCAGAAATAGGTTTACCACATAAAGCCTACAATGCAACTTTATCAGGACAGTGGGGGTAATGTCCCTTCTCATTTATTTCGTGTTAGGTGATTTATTTAAATTACATATTGGATAAAGCTGCTTTTGCTTTCAAAACTACATTTGGCCAACCAATGCAAAAGTACAAGATTGAAGAAAAGTCAACCCAATAGTATTCATATGAAACGCATTTACTTTTTAAAGTTACAATTCAGTAATACATTTTTTTAACAAAGGAACACACAGAGTATGCAAATGTCTTTTTTTATCTACTATTTATTGCCAAAGAAAACTTACAGTACATTACAGCAGACTGATATTAATTCAAAAGTTTATGTTGAGTAAATTTAATTTAATTTAGTTTATATTTGACTCATTTTAACAGTACGCAAGTGGCATTTCACAACATTCCAAGTCCACAGCAGTAACCTCATTTGAGTTCAGTTTAGGTTTAAATTGCGTTCAGGGCTTTCAAAATGTGCCATTAACACTGCTATACGTCTCCATGTCTGGAACTGCGGAGTCTGTTTTGTGGTGATCGGCATGGCGCCAAGTGTTAGTGAACGGTGTAGAGAGAAAAAGATGTAGGAGCTCTGCTACCAAAATGGACACCTGTAGGAGGAGAAAAGGAAAAACAAGTCAGATGCCTCAGATTGCAGATTTCCTTTTGTTCAAGGGGAGATTTGATGTGTCAGCTTGCTTTTTCTGCAGAAATACAAATTCTTTCAGTACAAAAAAATCCCAATAAAACAAAACCTAACTCCTCGTCGGAATCCCAGTCTAAACCTTTTGTAGGCTTCACCTCTGTCTACAGAAGGGCAGAACTCCCAATCCCCAGACACAGTATTACACAACAATCCTTTAGTTTGCTTTGTTTTTTGCTTCTACCATGTCTTCTGGTCCTTACTCATGCAAAGGCAGCCGTGCTCTTTGCTATCAGGTATATTTACCACCCTGGCCGAACCCTCCTTGTCTACATCATCTATCGTTCTCCTACAGTGACAAGCTGTTGTCTGGACATATCTGAAGAACCACACCCCAATCTGTCAACTGGGGATTCATGTGGGCACCAATAGTGCTCACCATCCAATATAGCACTGGCACAGATTCTCGTGGGAGGTCGCTTGCTTGATTAGGAGCTCCACTTGAGTTGGGACGTCCAGAGTCTCATCGTGGGAGAAATCCCGACCTGAGAGGGGACAAGCAGGGAAGCATCAGAAGCCATCCTTCAGGACTCCAGGAACAGCGAGTAATTCATTTTAATCTATGTGTCATATCAAAGTGGGGATGAGGGCTAAGTACTTATTTAAAACCTTTAATATCAATTTCAATGCAACATCATTTTTTTTGTTTTTCAATGTGTGTCCACTTTATCATTAATTTTGGTCAAAGTTGTTGCTGCGGAACAGCTGTTCTAGAGTGCAAGAACAAAGCTGTACAGATGTAGACCATGGATGTCCCTCACATGAATAAACAGCTTCCAGGCTTTTATTCATGTGAGGTGGTGTCACCCTTCAGACTACATGACTGAACAAATATTTCCTAAAAATGAAAAAATCTCTGTGGATTTTCTGGGCTGTGCTTTTCTCATGTAATATTTTAAAGATAAGTTGTTTTATTCCCAGATGGGGAGTTCCTGTTTAAGAGATACACTCATATAGTACTTCACCCACATTGTTGGAAAACAAGTTTGTTCACCAATGTCTAAGCCTGATTGTTCCAAGCTTTGATGGCATTTTGACTGTGCTGTACTCACCGGTCAATTTGTCTCTGACTCTGTTGATGATTTGAATAGCTTTTTTGTTCAGGGCTTCAGGCTGCACTAGGCCATCTCCAACTGAAAGGGAGAAAACATTTTAGATTCAGTTCTCAAAAACATGTGTCCCCATTATCTTGCTGAATGTTTTGGAAAATGCATTGAAATGTTTGACAAAAGGAAGTTGGTTCAGCCAAATAAAGTAGGACATTTTCTGCATTCTATTAAGTTAAAGAATGCCAGTATTGTGTTCCTTCTCCTACCTTCTGTCACGCTGTTGACAAAAGGTCTTTCTTCATGTGCTATCAATGAACAATTCAATTTGTGGTGTTAGAAATGGAAATGTTTTTTTAAGACAGAAGACAGGCAAAGGCAAACTGAAACGTTCACTGTTGTTTTGGTTTTCTGATCCACGCATCTGTGGTAAGAATTGAAAAAGAGAAGCTTGTCTCTTCTTGGGAACAATCTTTTCTCAAGCTCTATGGTCTATGACCAGATAGCAGACACGCCGGTATTCCTGCGAGTCTGAACTCACTGAAGGAGTGAATGGATTCAGGCACTGTGGTTCCTGGCTTCTTGTGTGTCGTTTCACCAAGCTCAATTCCCTCCAGGGCTTCTGAAAATGAAAGAAAGCATAGAATATTTTTTTTTTCGGTATGAAGACGTTATTCTGACCGTTTCTGCACCCTACACCCCATTTGGATTCTCCCACTCTGGAATGCAGATCCTTCTTAGGGAAAGCTAGAAATAAGAGTTCAATCAACTGACCACCATGGCTCGTTTGACATGAAGTTTCTTCTTGTTCCAAAGATCTCATCCAACTGTTACTTGAAAGAAGTCAGGCTCCATAACCTGGCTGGGTAGCTTGCTTTACTCTTTGAGTAAAAACATTCCTCCTTGTTCTTAGTTTTTAAATGGTTTGATTGGGTCAGTGCCTTTGAAAACCTTGAACATTTCTATCAGATCCCCCCATGGTCTTTTCTGTTGCACATGAAAGAGATTCAGTTCCTTCAGACTGCCAGTGGAGGACAGTTCAGTCCCTCAAGTCCCAGAAGGTCTCTGGTTGCTCTTCTCTGGACAGATTCCAAAGCAACAATATCTATTCTATAACAATATTCTCAATGATACATTTTTACAGTTTTAACATAATATCCTTTGATTTAAATTTGACACTTTTAATTACATAGATTTGATCACCTAATGATTCATCGCCATAAACACCCATATCCAAGGAGCCCATGATATGGCCTTAAAAAAAGTTTGCTTTCCTTCAGTAGGCTTGCTACAGAGCAGAGGCACAAGCAAACCAATTTAATATTCTCCCTCTAGTCCTCAGAAGGCTGAGAGTGAGTGCAGAGCCATGTACTGATTGCCCACCATATTCACCAGGTAACATCCCAATTGAACACGTCCTGAGACCAACCTCTCTGCTACAGTGCCACCCCTCCCAGCCCTCGTGCTCACCTACGGACTGCCCCGCGGTGTAGGAGTCGGTCCTCGTCCTGGATCGCTTATTCCCTTTTGTGTTCGCTGTGGACAGAACCGAAGAGCTGTGAGCGAGTTCAAGGTGGTACTGGTGCAAGAGGTCATGCACAGGCTACTACCAGAAATGAGAAGTTCTCACACAGTTAAATTTAAGATGCAACTATGGCTAAAAGCATGTGTACTTTATGATAGGCAACACATAAAAGACACACAGAAGACTACAATTTCCTGAACGCTCCCATGATAAAGATTTAAAGAGGATGTTTTCTGTGGGTAGTCAGGCTGGCGGACCGGTTGGCCCCGGGGCCTGAGCTGCGGGTCCCTTACTGTCCATGAGCCTCCAGTTGAGCAGGGGGTCGTAGACGAAGGCCTCCAGCACGGCCATGACGCTGTCCCTGTGCTCCCGCAGCACCTCCATCACCGTGTGACACGTGATCCTGTAGTTCCCATCCAGGCCCGTCACCTGGACGGCAAACACGGAGCGGAACACCCTGAGACCCCAGAGCACGGGCTGGCCCGCATCCCTGGACTCACCAGTCCTGCTTCTAACAGCACCCTGGTTTTCTTATTGACCTCTCTGCATGGTGCCATCAACATCAGTGCACGCACAACACAGTTGTTACTGTGTAACATTCATTTATTTTGCACTATAAAGATTTTTTTAACCATTTCCCCCCCCCTAAATACACCCGCTCACCTCCATAGCATTAGTAAGCATCCTGGTCAGCCTGAAAGGAATTTTCTCCGGGAATTTCTCTCTGGTCATGGCGACCTGTCAACCACAGCAACACGTTAGCTTTAATATCTCCTTCACTCTGTTCCTTGCAGGAAAGAGCTCTTCTCTTCCCCAGCAGACACAACGCCTACACTGCCAACAGTGGGTCCTTCCCATATCATCTCTCCACCTCTTCCTATCACTTTGCGCTCTGCGGAGTAACGAAAATCATTCACAAACCCACCTCAAAACAGTCGCCAAAGTCGATGTGGAGGATCTTCCCACTCAGTCTGTCCAGCATCAGGTTGGAGGGATGCCTGGGGATTATGTTTAAGGGGATAGTAATGGCATCATGTCTTTGCTTTAATATGCCATTGCAACAGGAGTAACTCTAGCCTTGTATCTGTGCTGGTTCCACTGGGCGAAGTTCAGGCACGCGCTCGACTGAATGCAAAGCCATACTATGACTAACGAACCCAGCAGTAAGTCCAGGGCTGCATGCAGAAGTCATAAAACACTTACAGGCCGGACAAAAGAATAATGCAAAAAATTGACCATTTAATAAAAGCAATCTCATGCAAAAATACATTCAAACAAAAATAATAAACTGCAGTTTATTTAAGGAAATCTCTACAAGCAGTTTCAATAATGAGGTCTACCATCATGTAGGCTGTGTACTGACACAGACAATGATACCCCCACAGACTAAGACAAGACTACAGTGCCACATCATAGGTGCCAGGTTCAATTCCCCCAAGCCCCACCCCCAGCTCCTCTTGAGGGACAGGTGAGCCTCCACTTAAACCAGAGGTGGGCCAGGGTCTGTAACGTCACACAACATGGAGGAACAGACAAGGACAGAGGTGTGGATCCCCAACAGGTAAAACAAAAACCCAGACAACCAATATATGGATTAGCTAATTAACGATTAACAACACTAATTTACAATAACCACTTTGTTCCAGAATGACAGATTCAAGGTCAGTAAATAATTAATCAGAATGTCTGAAAGTCACGTGACGAGTATACACCTACCTGTCTCCAAGTCCCAGGATGTAGCCCACCATTGACATCACGGCCAGAGAACGGGTGTAGTTAGTTCGTCTGTCAAACCACACCTGAAAAGTGAAAAGAGACAAGTTACGAAAAACAGAAACCTACCACACAGGATGGGCAAAACCTTTCCACAACAGCATCTTACCATAGTGAAGTCAAATATATTTATCGGGTGGAGGGTGTGACAGGTCGATCACTGTTTATGGTAAATAAGAACACGGTAACGGTTATAAACCGGAGGAGGCCATTCAGCCCAGCTAGGCCTTTTGGTCATTAGCAGTTAATTACTTCAAGATCTTCTGCAGCCACTTGCAGCCACTCGACACAGAACCAAAGTATCGGCCTTAACCGTAAGGGCTGGGTTATATATTCCCGCAGCACTCTGGGTAAATAAATGTTCTTTTCTTGGTTTTAAAAGCACTGCCGCATAGTTTTCACTTGTGTCTTCTGGTTCCTGTACTAATTCAGCAGCCAGGATCCTGACCAGGTCCAGTGCAAGTGATCACATGACTCCTATCCTGGAGTCCTTGCACTGGCTTCCTGTCAAATTCCATGTGGACTTTAAAATCCTCATGCTCACCTATAAGGCTCTGCATGGCTTGGCACCTCAGTACCTGTATGAACTATTATCGCCCTACTCCCCACCTCGCAACCTTCGCTCTTCTAATTCTGGTCTCCTCACTGTCCCCCAAGCCAGTTTACATTGTATGGGTGACAGGGCCTTCTCCTGTTATGCCCCCAAGCTCTGGAACTCTCTGCCCAAGGATATCAGAGAGTCACCTTCTCTAAACTCCTTCAAATCCAGACTTGAAACCTTCTTCTTTAGAAGAGCCTTTACTTAACTGGTTCCGTTCTTCACCCCTCTGCTTTTCCTAGTAACACCATCCACGGTCTCCTCTCTATATTGTGTTTTATCTTGTGTATTCTTTTTATTTATTTTTGTTCTCATTCTGTAATGCGCTTTGAGAAGCCACCTTTAAAAGCGCTATATAAAATAGTTTATTATTATAATAATGCCCGTTCTGAAGCTGCCCTGCACAGTTGCCGGGTGAAGAGCTGACCTCAGAGCTGGGGCTCTTCAGCCAGAGCAGCTTGGACAGGTCATCTCCAGCTGTGTTGTTGACCGCGTGCTCAAACACCTCCACCTTCTCCATGAGCGTCAGGTGGTCATAGTCCGGAGCCATCTGGACAGACACAACAAGAACCAGCTCATCAACTACATTCGCCTCTTGTTGCAATGTTTCCTTGACACTGAATATAAACAGACGTCATTTAATATAGTGTCAAATGCAACATAAATAACTCTTGTTTCTAAACTGAAGGGCAAGAATTATTCCTACATAAATCAGCCTACAGTAATATGTTGGTTACGTTCCACAGCATAACCACAGATATCCCGACTGGCTTATTGCATCAAAATCACCAAGCAATTTAATTGAGTAAGACATCCTTTCCTCAGGCTCCTTCTTCTACAGGAGCAGGCGTAATATTGGTTACTGTTGACCCTTGAGTCTGTGTGCTGACCAACCTCTCTCGGATCCACTTCTCTCTGCTCATCCGGCCATTGTTTCCCTCGCTATCCCTTTCCTCTGCCTCTCTCTCCACTTTTCACACCGTTCCCACTCCCCCCCCCCATCCTCTCTCTCCCTCTCCTCCTGCCTCTCTTACTCTCAGCATGATGCGGTGCTCAATGTTGAGCAGAATCTTCTTCTTCTCCCGGTAGTCCCTGATCAGGGCGTGCAGCGTGTCGCAGTGCGGGACCCAGCCAATCAGTCCCGAGTTGGTGGACAGAGGAATCACTGCGTAGCGCTGGATACTGACGGGGGGACAGGAGAGCAACAATCAGGCCGAGACACGGGACATCCCCAGTTCTCCCATGTCCGTGCATTGGGCAGCAAAACATTTTAGTTTCATTTCACCTTTTATGCTTCACTTTTGGGAATGCGTCTGTAACAGTTTAAAAAAATGACGTATTATCAACTCTCTGGGTTATTCAGATGATGTAGTTGTGTGCAGGGTGAGGAGGTGACTGAGATACGCAAGTATTGCGACTGCTGAATTCTGGAAACAAAACACTAAACCTTAAAACTGAATTCAGTTAAGACAAAATGAGAATCGTCAACCCTAGCTCAGTGGCTGGGTGAGCTTCAAAACCTTCCACTTCCGATTTTCTAAAACTGTATACTTTACATACTTCACATCCTGCAGGGGACAGCACTGGTTTGGAAAAAAAAATAAAATAAAAATGCTCCTTTCACCCTCGAGCATAGGCTCGAGAATGTCTTTTAAAGAGACAAAGGGGATTTGTTTTAAACCCCGTTGGCGTCCTGGGATCCCCCCTGCTCTGTGGCGGGGACGTCCCACACACAGGGTCCCACCTCAAGTTCTTGCGCAGGGACGCGGGGTCATTGGCCAGCAGGGTGTTGACCAGTCCGAAGAGCTGCATCACTCTCTCGTCCTGCCGCAGGTCCTCGTGGCCCTTCAGCAGGAACATGAACTCGTGCCCGTTGCTCCCTGGGCAGCAGAGAACAGGCCAGTGTTTATTTTCTTGGCCACTTTGAGACGAAGTGAGCCCAATTCCCAACAAGAGACCACGACTCTGGGAGTATACACAAGGCAGCGCAGCCGGAATGATGGGAAATTATATGACATATCATACTGTGCCAAGCCATAAACGAAACAGACAGACCCTTGAGCCTTCTCAATAACACAGTCCTCAGTCATCTCTGTGGCCAATAACCCATTCAAACGGCAAAAAACAAGAATAAAGAACATTTACAAACTAGAGTTTTTCTGCTGAACTTTATCATCCTTTAGCAATGACTCTATTCCCTGAGTCCTAGTTAGGGGTTAGGAGCTCAGGAAGAGGAATTCTTGTAAAGTGGGGAAAAGCGACAGCTTGGATCAAATCCTAATGGCTTTGCCGACAGACGGTGTGTCTGGTCAGCAGCAGCCCTCGTTAGGCAAGGCCTGACCAAGAGAAAGCCAGGACCCCTATTGCCCATAAGCAGTTGCTGCAAGCTGCCAACTGGATGGTAAAGTCATTTAAAAAAGTCTGGGTTTCACTCCTGGAATCACATTCAAGGGCTGAGTTACACATTACCTCACAAACTCCTGGATGGACAAGCAGTGATTTCATGTTTAGGTATTAACATCAGTTCCAAAAACATATCATCCTATACTGCACACTGAATACAACAGCCTTGTGCAAAAATCACTCTTGTAAATCCTTGTAAAAAACTACTAGGCTTCCCACAGACAAAGAAACGATTACACTTAAGTCACAAGTCCATCGTTATTAAAATCATATCTGAATTTACTGGTACGAATAAAACTTAAAATCAGGGGGTTTTCACTTTGAAACAACATCTTGCTAATCACAAAAATCACAGGGAAGGTGAAAATGTTTAACTTAAAAATCAAGCTCTAGAGCTGTGCTTCTCAATCCTTTCCGTCATACAGCACGCTTTTAACATCCTAAACTTTCCCCTGGACGATTTGAAAATCATTCGCACGAACGTGGCAAGAAATAACATTTATTTTAAACTGAAGCAAAGACTACAATTTTAATGAGAAGTACTTGGCTTCCTGTTCCTGACTAGAGTTTCAATGCAAGAATGGGACCTTGTTCCAACGAACAGAGCCGTTTAATACTGGGGTCAGTGCTGAAGACGCAGATCCTGACCCACATTCCGCTCCTGAGACAAGCAATGTGGGAACGCTGCTAATGATTAATGGCTCCTTGTGGAGGAATTCCCAGCGGTGAAGGGGCTGATAATTTATCCACTGCAGCCTGTGGATGAGAGCGCGACTCTGGGGTGGCAGACGCTGTGCTGCTGGCTCACCCATGATGGTCAGTTTCCTGGGCCTCTGCTTGGAGGTGATGACTTGGAGAGAGGGCGCGATGGACTGGATGCGTATGATCGGCTGATTGGGGTCATAGGTTCCAGGCACAGCCAGCTCCAGGTCCCGGCACATGAGCAGTTTGGGGGAGACGTACTGGAGCTCTAAGGAGGTCAACTGGGGACACAAGAGAAGAGGGAAGAATGACAGAAGCGAAAACTGAGGCCTTCTTATCTCTCCCCCGAGTGACCACTTTGGCTCAGAAAGGAAGCAAAGCCAGACATCAAGTCAGCAAGGGAGACGGATGCAGTACTGGAATAGCAGCAGTGGAAACGCATACAAACTGATAGACCTGAAGAAGTCTGGATATAAATGAAAGACATTTGAATGCATTCCTGCATAAAAGTAGGATTACATATGCATATGCACAACCACATGGGCAGAATGTGTGTTAATGTACAGAATGATTTTCAAGGTTACGTGCTTCCAGGACATGATGCACTGCACTCCTCTGTTTTCTGAAACTGAATGTAAAAGCTCATAGGTTGGACAACTAGCAAGAAATAACAAAGGTATGGGCATAAACTGTGTTAAAACACCCTGAAAGGTTCCCTGCACACTGCCGGCGTCACTAGCCCACCTGAGGTAGCTGCTTGGAGATCCTCCTGAAGACATGGTAATAGAGATCCCAGGCCTGGGTCAGGTCCTTCACGTTTCCAGAGCGCATGTACTTCCTGCACCAGTCCTGGGCCTCCATCAGGTCTCGTCCGTACGCCTGCCAACACAGCGGCCGTCAGTCCGGGTTCAGCCACAGCGGCCCTTATTTAAATCTCTGCTGCTGACGAGCTTTCACTGCTGCGACATGTGCTCTAACATGTGCTCTAATCCCCCAAAAAGTGGGGGGATGCAGTAGCAAGGCCTGAGAAAGGCCTGAGCAAAGTAAGAGTAAAGGCCTGAGGTTTGAGTAAAGCTCTGACCCAGAATCCTGAACTGCAGAGTGCAGATATGTGATCGCCGCTGGGACAGAGCACCGGGGAGGTCTGCCTGTACCATTATATAAACTAGAGAGATCGAATACAGGGTGAAAAGCACACGACTGGGAGAAAGAACAGGAGGGAAAGCAGGCACACCTGGTTGAAGGAGGTCTCCTTCAGGGTCTGCGGTCCTCTCTCCATCATGGCGTGCAGGGGCTCCAGCACGGCAAACATGCCCTTGACGTTGCGCTCCCCGAAATACAGCCGGGACGCCTCCTCCAGGCCCTCGTGCCACATCTCGTGCCAGAGGATGGCCACGCGGATCAGCTCCTCGCTTACCTGGGCGCGTTGGAGGAGAGCGAGGGAGAAATAGAAGAGAGAGTCTGCTTTTGGGGACGGTGATCAGAGTGTAAAGGCACTACCTTCATCGAGGGGGATGCAACCTGCTGAGAACTGCAGTACAGACCTTGAACGACAAGGGCTAAGGTCTAGAAGCACCCTAACTCCACACCTGGTCCCGACTCCAGGTGATCCCAATTCTAGTCCTACCTCCAGTCTTAACTTCGACTCCGATTCCAGCCTTAACCCTAACAAGGCTCAAGTGTTTCAAAGGCTGCGAAGGAACAAGTAAAGGTTTATTCCATGCTGAAAAGAAAAGAGACACGTTTAGGCTATGGAGTCTTCTTCAGGAGTGACACTCCACAGCTGAAACATTGTCTTTTTTCATTTCAGCATGGCATAAACCTTTACTTGTTCCTTTGCATCTCTAGACTTATGTTTCACCCTGTGTCACCATTTTGGCTCAGAAAGGAAGCACAGGCAGACATCAAGTCAGCCCTAACCCTAACCCTTTCTCTAAATCTAACCCTAACCCCTAACCCTAAGACTAACCCTAGCCTTAACTAATCTAACCCTCACTGAAGATCAGAACGAAGCTCTGAACCTAGCTGCATATCCAGCTCAGACCCTGAACTACAGCGTGACGACATCTGATCGCTGCTGTAACAAAGCAGTAACGAAGGGAGGTCTGCCTGTACCATTATGGCCTGCTGCACCAGCGTGTTGCAGTGCTCGCACATGTTCTTCAGGATCTTGTTGGCGGCGTTGTGGCGGGCCGTGGTGGTGGACTTGGAGGCCACAGTCAGAGGGTAAATCAGAGCCTGCGGAGAGGGCAGAGCACCAGCGGTGTTAGCAGAACTGAGTTCGGAGTGGGGCGGTTTTTACCAGCCTCCGTTTTTTTATTCCTGATTTTTCTGACAGCAACCATTCAAGACTCTACGGGCGTAAATAAAAACAAAGACCAAATTACTGTGGATGTTGGTTTTAGGTCCATTAAAAACACAGCTTTGGAATTTCAGAAGACTTGTAGTTGTGCTATAAGCTCAGCACCAGCTCATGACAGAGATCTTGTGCCGTAAACTGGCTGTGCTCTGGATCACTTGTTTACAATAATGAGCTGGGGGCTGTGTCCATGATGTTTTGAGCCTGGTGCTGGGGTGCAGCAAGGCCAGTGGGAGCTGCAGTCACAGTTCCCGAGTTCCAGTAACCCTGATGGACAAGGCAGGGGTGCTGATGGACAGCGAGTGGCTCGATCAGAGCCGCCCGCGGCTCTCCTCACCTGCGGGTGGTACCGGCCGATGTCCGTGAGCAGCTGATGGATGAGGCGTCCCACCAGCGCGCGGGGGGTGTCAATCCGGGCGATCAGCTGTGGGATGACCTGAGACGAAGGGGGGAGGAAGCAGAATTCTTTAAGGTCAAGAAAGACACAGTGAGGACTGCATGGTGCCCAGCAGAGCCACGTGCCCTGGGCTTGGCAGGTACACCTGGAATACACTCCCAGAACCCGTTTCCCTTCACATTTCATATCCAGTGCTGCTCAGATACTCTCAAGGTGTTGCATCTCTGTTCGCAAGATGCAGGTTGCTCACCTTCCCTTTTTTATTTCAACTGATTAAAAACGTCAGTTAGGGCACTTTAGATGCAAGTAGATTCTGCAAAGTCTGAAACACAGAAGCACAAGTGAGGGCCAGTGCTCTGAGCCCCAGGGGGAGCAGGAGACGGGTACCTGCAGCCAGGTGTCAATCTGAATGGTCTTGATCCCCTCCACCAGGGCCTCGTTCACCTCAGGCCAGTGTCCATAGTCAAACCACAAGGTCAGGACCCTGTGTGGGAGGGGCAGGAGAGGTTATATCAGTAATACAATGAAAATTAAACAGAAGCTGATAAGACGGGGGTGTAACAGTAGCCTCCAGCCTGTACGGAGGTTAGTATTATCTGTGATCTGCTCTTCCCAAATCAGGCTCTCTGAGATCTGCTCTCAGAATTAATTCTTTTTTAATCTTAATCTCATACTCCGGAAAAGGACTCAATGTCCTTTCACAAAAGCAGTAGGCAGCGTTTATATTAGGCTTGACTATAAGATACCTACATTGATTTTACATTTAGTAACCCATGAATTCAGGGTATTTTTCCCAAGAGCAAATTTGTAAAACTATGATCTCAAAGTGCCCGCCATTGGCACAGCCGGACACTTGACTAGGCAGTTGTTAGGTTTGGCCACTAGGTGTCGCCATCACTTCAGCGCCTCTGCGTCAGCGGGGAGACGGTCTCCTCTGTTAATCCCTGTTCAAATCACACCACACTCAACTGCAAGGGCTGTATTATTTTAACGCAATTTAATACCAAAGTTAACATTGTAAAAAAAAAAAACACACCAAAGTAATCCTTTTGGTAATTTAAACATAAACTAGTTATAATCAGAACTGAACCGATGATTTCCGGGTAATCTAAAACCTGAAATCACCCACAGCATTCTAATTAGTTTAAATATAGACAATTTATTTTAACCATCTGGCATATTCAGTTGTGTATTGAAAGGTTTAATCTGGAAGCTTTAAAAAAACAACATCCCTACTTGTACTCCCAGGCAGTTTGCTGGAGGCCCTGGTCAGGTGTAGGAAGTGGACAGGAAGTGGACAGGTCGGTTCACCTGGGCCTACCTGAGTGTGTCCTGCAGGTTGTTACCGCGAGACAGAGCGATGGAGCGGAAGAAACCCTGGACAGCAGGGACAGTGTACAGCAGCAAAGTCTTGGACAGGTCCTGGAGGGCAGACAGATACCACAAACTCTGAGTCACAGTATACCCAAGACCAAATGCCCTGCTAGCTCAGGTCGTGCCTGAGCTCTTGATCCTGTCACTTTCTAAGACACATTTCCTTGGCACCAGACAAACTGGCAGTCCAGGTAAAATAAAAAGCTATCAAAAAGAAAACAGGCTATCCTGAACAAACAGGATAAAAATGTAGACAGGATAATTACTTAAACAGCATTCAATTCGTAAAAAAAACATTAAAAAATGTCCTTGATTTTTTTAGCCTGCTCTTTACGATTACACAATGCCACTGACCCTTCTGACTTTTACAGTAAAAGATCACTAAATTCCTTGTTGAACAGAAAAGACACCTTGAGATGCAAGTCAAGGACTATCATTATTCCTCAGGCTTGTTATTGAGTGTCACCTAAATCCCAAGACCCCCCCAACTCCACGCTGGGGGTCTCACCTCGTTGACCTTCTTCTGCCCGGGAGAGGGCACGGGGCTGTTCTCGGGGCTGTCCGCCTCGCTGTCGCTGTTACTGGCCTCGCTGTTGGCGCTGGCGCCGCTGGCGTGGCGCAGTTTCTTCTTGTCGTCCCTCCCCTGATTCTGGTGCTTGTAGTGCAGGACGGCTTCGAAGTTCATCACGGCCCAGGCGTGCCAAGCCTAGCGGGGTCACGGGGTCACGGGGTCACGACACAAGGCGTTAAGACTGTCCGCATTTCGTGAGTGACAGTGGTCTCTTACTTCACGTGCCGAGTGTGAGAAGTTCATTTTCTACACCCTGGTGTTTCATTTTGCTTCTCCAATAACTTTGTGCTAGAATGGTGTCAGCAGTGGGATTATTGAGACTCAAAAATAAATATTTTGGGGGAAATGCTGTACCACTTAGTAAATGCCATACAGAATACCCTTAATCAAAAAAACATTTCTTGGAAGGATATTCTCTGCCTCCCTGAGAAAGACTCTTTCAAGCACTTCCTTGTTCTCATTAAATGGGACACTGTTCTAGGAATTACGAATCCTTCAAGGCACAGAAGACAGTGACACCCCGGTTTCCCTGGGAGAGGTGAACTTGTGCAATGTGATCGGTCAGTCGATGTACGCTGGGGGAAACCCCCTTGCTCACCTTGTACCAGCTGCGGTCATGCTCGGTCGAGTGGCTGTAGTACTGCAGGACCTTGGGGATGGTGCTTTCATTAATGCCCTGCAGGCTCAGCTGCCACTCTCCCAGCTTCAGGAAACACCTGGAGAGGCCGGAGGGGCAGGGGGGACAACAGAAGGATCAGAGCACCGATCACCAGTCCAGCAGTGTTTCTTCCACCTCACCAGACTATTTTAGGCACATTTGTTACAGTAGGTGGCTTCAGGAAGCTAAGCTCTACTCCTGGCACTGGAGCTCTTTCATAGCTGCACTCACCTGCAAGCAGCCAGAGTAACTTCCAGAGGCAGAGAAACTAGGGTCTTGAGCATCTGTTCACCTGCACTTGACAAATGACCTGTTACTCTGCTCTGACGCGTAACTCCTTACTCAACATACAGTATACCACATTATTAGGCCTGCCAAAATAACTATGCACTTCCAGCAGCCAACTGCTTCTTTCAAAACCCGTGGTGAAACACTGAAACTGTATCTGTTATAATCCTTTAGCCAGGAACTGAGCCATTTCATATGAGACTGCACCACTATGCTGAACTTCAAATAATCCAATAGATTTATATCACTTTCATTTTAGTTATGAAGATTTCAACAGCCAGTATTAAAAGTGAAACTGTGTTTCTCCCCAAGAGATGGAATCTTTATTCAACCTGATTTATGTTAACTGCTGCTTTATAAACCCTGCCTTGTTTCACACATACCATTATTTCGCATGACCCAAATCTGCAATTCAACTCCAGCTCATCTTTTTGTGAATCTGATCTTGAAAACAAGCAGTCTGGTTTATCTGACACCGAGAAACCTACCGTTCACCTCTTCCTAAATAAATAACCCTTCCTCCAAATTCCTTGCAAAAACAATTACACACAAACAGGTGCATGCCTGCCCCAGATGGGTGTCAGCGAGCTATTTGATTTTGAGAACTATGTCATGCTGTCTAGACGGGAAGGACAAGACAGGTATGTGACTTGTACGATACTCAGACATGTTCCCATGTGCCTGTCATGTTCAGTCTGCAACTGAACCTCCAGTCCTTCTACCTTCAGTGATCTGCTTTCCAGGCTCTAAGTCCATACCATCAGGGAGAGCCCTTCTCTTGATATCACGTGCCTATGGCAACACCTTTCACTTGAACAGGAGCCAATTCATAACTAAATGCTCTTCTTGCAAGGCATGCAAAATGGTAATACCCAAGAAATGTCAGGAAAAGTTTGTTTAGCATCCCGTAAATCACATTTTCCTAGAAGACCAAAACAAACACTTCCACCCATTGTTTCGCCTTCGCAATAAACACGACGTAAGAGCAGTTCCAAATGAGACGAGCCCACCTGGCCCACCATTCCTGCTTGATCCAAGCTATTTCTGGGATCCAGTCCTAATCCAGACATTTCTTTTTATTTGAAAGAAGTCAGGTATTGGCTTCAACAACATGACTGTGAATCTCTTGTTTTATATTCTCACAACCCTCTGGGGAAAAAAGTGCCTCCACTTCTCATTTCTAAATGCACTTCCATGTAGCTTCCACTTGTGTACTCTGGTGTTTCACCTAAAATGCTTATGGGCACTGATGCAAGACGCGCAGAGATGAGTTTTTAGAATAAAATGATGATAGCTGGCACTCAGGGCTTCAGAACTAGCCTGCAAGATATATGTGGATTTCTCGCTCCAATTTGTCTGAAGTGCAGTATTTCCTTAAAGAAAGTTCAATGAGAAGACAGGAAAAGGAAATACACAAGGCATGGCTGGACGAGCAGCTACCAGTCCCTGCTCCTGCTCAGCGTGCGCAGACGCAGACGCAGGTGTAGCTGCTGAGAGAGCTGCAGTCTGCAGCCCGAGAGCGCCGGACCCCTGACCTGGCCATGAGCTTGTGCAGCTCCTGCTTGTGCTGCTGGTCCTCTGCGGCGATGGCGTGCTGGGCCTGCTGCTGCATGCTCTGCACGAAGTGCTGCATGTGCTGGAACGCATCGATCTGGAAGCAAGTCCATGACGTGCATTAAAATCGCACCCTTACGATTTTCAACTTCAATCTTAACACCCCCAGCTTCCGCTTCAAAACAGTCACTGCTCAATTAACATGATGACGCTTTCCCAGGTAAGAGTTGATGCTCAAAGCAGCACAGTAGCTGTGGGCGTTAGTGCTGACTAAAGGGATCTGGCTAGAGAAGGAAAGGCTATTCTATTCTTCCCAAAGCCAAACTGTGAGTTTATTTACTTGTCCTGCTCACATGCAGAAGTGTTTTTATGCAAATTGTCACTTGATGGCACAGCTGGAACACCTTGTGCCATCAAGTAACTTAGAATGCTAAGACAAAAAAACAGAAACATTCTTCCCACTTCATGACCTAACTCTGGAGCCATGCTTTTGTATCACTCAGCAAGGTCCACCCAGATGTACTTAAAGCAGCAGCACTGCTGGGGTGGTAATCACCAGTTGCCCCTCTGTGTTCTCTGGGCCCTTGATCAGCTTGAACCATAGCCATGTGAAGACTTGCTGCAAAAGCACCCTTAAAAAACTTCTGTTAATTCTGCAAAATAATACATTTTCAGATAAAAACATTCATGCCTTTACCCGAATCAAGCACACAGAAGCCAAAAGGGAATCGAATGTAAAAATCCCCTAATGACTGAGAGCAGGCAGACATTTCTCAGGATACTGCAGGTTAAGCAGCTGCACACTCTTCAGACAGTGAAATACAAAGCTGACCTTAGTTATAATAACACCAAACCTGCTACCCACAGAGTTAAATCCCTGAATCGCACCCTCATCCTGACCTCTAGTCCCACTATACTTTTAGCCCTGACTCAAACCTTCAGCTAACCTGAGGTACAGACCTGCTGGCTCTACGTAAGGGACTAAACATCTCATTAAGATTTTTTGCTGCTGAGCGGTTCCCCATCTGGTACTGGGGCTGTGCACTCGCGGTGATGTAATCCCCTCCAGACACAACACTTCACTAATGAGAGTGACACTGGAGCAGCTGCCCTGCCCCACCCTGCAGTGTCCCTGGTGCTTCCTCATGCACAGTCCTTAGCCCATTTACACTGCAGCCTTCTTGCTTAAGGCCCAGGGTGACTCATACCACACTTTTAAACCCTGGAGATCACCTGCTTTTCACCTGACATCTAGGATTAATGATAACAGTCGCGGAACACTATGTCTTTTTGTAAACAGTGTCCTTGCAGCCTGCAGGCCTTTGGTCACTGCATGCTGAGGTGCAAACGCCTCCGGGACTCTGAACTCATGCAGAAAACTCGCTCTAGACAAGGGGAGGGACGGGCGAGCATCCACGCTGGTCGTGGCTCAAAACGAGTTGCTAATGACAACTGGCAGAGACTGCTGGAAAAGGCAAAACCGCGAAGGCTATTATAACAGCACCATCCCTTGTTCGTCAACAATGTGATAAAGCCGATGTAGCTTAGTACTGCAAAATATTTCGAGATGGTCAAGATGTCCGTCTTTTTAATTTTTAGTCGACCTACGACAGTGGTGCCCTGCTGCACTCCTGGAGGGCCGCAGAATCTGCGGGTTCTGTCCTGCCTCTGGTCTTAATGAGCTCATCGTTCGCTTTAGCGGATCAGCCAACGCTTCTCGAAGGTCTTCAGCTGTTGATGATTTAAAGAAACCCCGAAGACCCGCTGGGCCCTGGTGCACGAGGACGGCAGCCGTGCACGAGGACGGCAGCCGTGCACGAGGACGGCAGGCTGTGCACGAGGACGGCAGGCTGTGCACCTGTGAGCTAAGAGAGTGCCGGTGCGCTCAGAAGCCTGGCCGGCTCTACCTTGCGCGCGCTCTTCCACATGTACTTCATGTAGGCGTAGGTGACGTGGGGGTGCACCGTGGGCAGGGGGTGGTCCAGCTGCTTAGAAGGGTCCACTCCAAGCAGAAGAACCAGGGTCTTGTGCGCCAGGGCCTAGGAGTAAGAACAGGGAGCATCAGCATGGGACAGAATCCAGCTCCACAAAGTGGATTTGTCATTGTATTAGCGTCTCCAGTGTCGGTGAAACAGGGTGTTGGTGTCTCTTACCCTCTCATTAAAACTTAACTTCCCTTTCTTTCCAAGAAACCTTGAAACATTTGTTTTCACGCTCATCCCCTCATGGCTTGAGATTGTCTTCTCTTCGCTGTACCTGCTGCCCCTCTCGGGGCGGATGAGGACCTGCGCATGAGGGGCGCCTCCTATGCGCAGCAGGCATGGGCGAGCTAGGAGCTGCCCCTCGGGGGGCGTCCCGGTCGCCACCAGCCAGCGAGAGCGCGCCCCCCCCCAGACCCTCCCCGGAGGCCCGTGGCGTTTCCTGACGCCGGCCCGGAGACGGCTGCGCCGTGCACTCACCAGGCGGCCGCTCTTGCCACAAAGGCTGGCGTATTTGAGCCAGGTCCTCATGTCCTCGTGGGGGTTGATGACCAGCGAGCGCACCATCAGGATCCTCTGCCAGTCCTCCACGATCCTCTGGCAGCCCTGAGAGGAAGGACCAGTTCAGCCCCTGCGTGTCTCTGTTCGCTCAAAGCTCCCAGGTGCCCCTGAGTATACCACTCAGAAAGAAAGCTAGACAACCCCTGAGCCAGCAACCAGGACACAAATCTTTACAAAAGTGCACAAGCACTTTTAATGGTTAAGCTGGTCCCCTCTGACCCGACACTTTCTTTAGCAACAAATAAATATTGCACTTCTTTCTAGCAACTTAGATCACCAGCAAAGGAGGGATTCTTCGATTGCACATCGGGTACTAGAAGCGCCTGACGACAATACTCGGATTCGTTTTTTTCCCAAGTTTCCGAGCCCCAGTTTCGCCTTCATTTTCCAGGGACTCCTATCCCAGGACACATCTGGCGGTGTCCTGGCCAGCACTAGTGGATCACCTGCAGCCTCTCCCACCAGGTCTCCCGAATGATCTCCCTTCTCTCTGGCACCAGCTTGTACTGGATCACCTCCTCCAGCTCCGACAGCATCTGGCAGGACACCATGGCCTGTGAAGAGCATCAACCGGACAATCCATTTTTTATTTTACAACTGAAAAGTGTTTATTGGCCGTACTGCATGGCCATGTATGAAATTAAACAGTTTAGAAAAAGAGAGTGGACTGTTACACATGTGTTACACTGAATACAACATAAAGGTTCTTGGAGCGGCGTGATTAATTCTGCTCGTACGCGGAGTCTGCTGCCTCTCCTTACCCCATAAGCCCGGCTATAGCTCTCTCCAGCCATGGCTGTCAGCTCAGCGTCCAGCAGGTCTCTGGCTTTGTCGATGCACTGAAACCAAACCGATAGGAACGCTGGTCAAGACCCTCTCACTCCTTAAGAGTTCATCTCTTCAGGTCAGATCTCAATAACCTCACTTTTACATCATATTCTCTTCGTGACACTGCATTTAAAAGACTCCCATATACTCTGGGTCTGAATGACTTTCATGTGAATCATCATATACTGCTTTTTCCTAAGAACAGTCTGAAGAAGGGAAAAGGCCGGAATATTGAGTGCTTCCCAAGACTAAGACTGGGATACACTCTTTGAAAAGTACCAACAAATTTAGTTCATGCAGTGGTGACAGCAACACCAAGGCAGATGAAGAGTATTTGCAATGAGTAAACAAAAGACGTCAACAAATTATTGTCAATCAAACTTCCATATGTTTTTAAAGTTCCACCACCCACTCAATCACATCTTGCATTTGTTCTGATCCTTTAAGGAAACAACAATCTAGAATCCTTCAGATGTCTGAGCAAAGAGCACAACTGATAAGTTCGAACGGCATTTCATCAGAAGGAAAAAGGAAAACGGGTGACACTAGAACTGATCACATCACGTCCTGGCAGGGTTACAGGCACTGATGGGTCCCACCCCTGATAGACATCTGAGCGAGATCTCAAGCCATCCTGTCCTGCCGAGTGAGATTCATAAGCATTGATTTGCCAAAGCAGCTCCCAGAGCTTATTATCTGAAAAGCTGTTGACATGTGTGTCCACCATTTTTCAATGAAGCGTTCACAACAAGAACACGCATTACAGCATCCCACTATCAGCTGCCAAAACAGAAAACTGGTCTTGCTTGAAACCGTATTTCTACTTCTTCAATCTGCTTATCTGCTTATGTTGCACCAGGAGACCAGCTTGATGGCCCGATCCTATAGACCTACACAAGCAGCTGGAAGTTAACAACGACGAAAAAACATTAGAATGTATTTTACACCACAGGTTTTACCTGCACTAATTATAAGCATGTAACTTGTAACATACAATGAAGCTGCAGACTGAACAAATCTCAGATCCATCAAAAAAGGGACAACTGGTTCATCCAATAAATCTAACCACATTAAAAAAAGCTTTTTTATTTGTGTTCAATTCAGACTTAAAAAATGTGTATACAGACTTACAGAACAGTGATGAGCTAGCAACCTGTTTTTATGTTCTATGATATAAATTTGGCACTGGAACACTGAGTTCCTAGTTACTTGTAAGTTATAAATTGACTGCTTGTGTTCCATTGTTGCTATCTTTACTTCACAGCTGCTATTCAATTGGGTAAAAAAACAACCCACAACCAGCTAATAAATGTGTGATCAGATCAGTTAAAAAAAGGTCAGCACAGAAGATACAAAACCCACAAGCTTGAGACTATTCACGGCCCTCTCATGATGAGAAGCCAGGCCAGTGACTGCCAACTCCAGAGCTCGAGATTTATTTCATCAGTCCCAAGTTTATGGTCAGAGCTTTTTCAAAAATGTGATGTTAGAAGGAAATAGAGAGCCCAGAGGACTGCAGACCTCACTGGCCAACACTGCACAATAACTCGAGATTTCAGTAAGAAAATACAGTATATGGTTTTAATGATGTGTGTCAGGCCAAATACACATGAGGAGGGTGCTATGGAGCCAACTTTATCAAATTAAAGTGCATCATAAACTCCATAAAAACATCCAGGGCTTGGACGAGTTTTTATTGGCTTTATTTATTCAGCTGTGAAACTTTGCGATCAGCTGTTACAAATAATCAATGTGCCAAAGGAATGCCGTACTGATTTTTTCATACAAAAAAAAATCGCTCTGTAATTTCTGTAACACCGGACATTCATTATTAAGTGTTTAATTGCAACTCTTGCACCGATGCAGAGACTGCTTCAACCTCCACCTGCTTTTTGGTCATCTGGAGACAGCTTTCCCAGAACTGCAGTTATTTAACCCAGGAAACAAAATTGTTCAGGCCTGAAATCCGACAGACAGCTGGTCCTTGGTGCCGGCGAGGGCATTTCTGGTGCTATATTTAGGATGATTAGACACAAGCAGTTTGACAGCCATGAATTACCCAACCTGAAAAACTGTCAAGAATTAAGATACCTGTCGGAATTGCCTGTAACATCACACTGTAAGTATGCCTAACATGAGGCACTGCAGGATAATAACCCCAGGGTGTCTGTGGAAATACAGCCCAGGGTTAAAGATACTTCTGCACACTGAAGCAAGACAACTGACTTGCCTGTGCACATCAGCCAGCTCAGAGGGTGCGTACTGATGGCACCAGTACTTGTTAATTAGTACCCACTATTAATGCAAGGTATACTGCTCATAAACTGTGTTTAAGACTCACTACGTTTTAGGGTGTTTTAAGAAGATGAAGTAGCTAGAATCTAAGCTAAGAATTACAGAAACGAATCCCATTAATTAACTTTAATTACCTACTAGTGCAAATTAATGTTAGGTTAAAATGAATGTCCTGGTTTGCCTAATGAAAGATGGGGAAAACCTGTTTCAGAATACAATCCCTAAATATTATAAAACATCTATACAACTAAAAAGCCAAACCCAATGATGAATATGGAATATGAAGTCCTTCATATTTTATTTCTGACTCGATTATGAGTTATATCCTAGGATGACTGTTTCGAGTGATTAACTAGCTTGAATGTGCACCCGGATGGTTTCAATTCAGTTACTGTAGTGTAATGCAGTCCGCATTAACTGCAGAGCCTTCCTCTTCAGAATTCACTCATAGGTCTCCAACGGTAATTAAGACCAGGTGGAGTAGGAACAGATAAAGATCGAGAAAAAAAAAACATTCTCCCTACAGCAGTAAGAGAAGATGAATGGAAAATAATGCAAGGGCCACTTTCAAAACCAAAACCATCTGCTATCCGCCAGTTGTGAGGTTCTGTCCTTCATCAGACTAAAGGATTTGAGGAAGAGGTGTTCTGTCAGCATGTAATGTTTTGCAAAAGCTGATTTGCAGCCCCGCTCAACAAAGTTAACAATATGGACTTTTTTTAACTCACGGGAGTGGACAACGTTTAGGAGCTTGAGGCAATGATTTCAGAAAGGAAACTGCTGTTGAGATAAATGGCAGGCCGCTTATGTTTGTGCTGTTTTTGTGTCCATCATTTGCCCTCAATTTGGAAAGCACTGTACAATTCAGCAGGAAGTTTTTTTTCAGGCTCGAACTAAACGAGCTTGTGGCTTTTTCTCAAGCTTGTAGATCATGTAGACATGAGGCTGCTGGACACAGCTACTAAAACAAAGCTTTCTGTACATTCCTCATCAGGACAAAAATGGTCCTGTTACTTCTGTGTGTCTGAGTATACTAGAATTCTTCAGGAAGTACCTGGAAAACCCCTTTATGAAACATTTAAAAATATTATAAATGAGAGGGAATAAAGGCACATCTTACTTGTCTATCAGTAGACGAAACCTAAAATTGTCTTTTACAATCCACAAAAATTCCAACACAAAATCCAAATTTTAAAGATACTGAAAAGATAAAGCCATACCGGAATCTGAAAAAAAGAAGAGAGACAAGGTACACTCCTGGATCAAACTGGAAGATAAAGATAACTGGACGTGGAGGTTCCTTCTGATTGGTTAAGACTCCTGATGATAGTACCTGCTGGGCCAATGAGAAGAGGTCCTGATGCAGAGCCAGCACTGCCCTGTAGAAGGCACCATCGTGTGTGTCTCTGGGAATCATGCAGGTGTACTCCTCCATGCTGTCCCAGTGTCCTGTCCACAGCAACAGAACATACTCAACGTCAGCAACAACAGAACATACTCAACGTCAGCAGCAACAGAGCATACTCAACGTCAGCAGCAACAGAGCATACTTAACTCCTTTGCAAACTGCCCTTCACTTTCTTTTAATGGCATTGAACGAATCGCAAATTAAAAAAATAAAGAACGGCATTGAAGCATAAGCATTTAATTACTCAATCATAAGCATATGGGTTTTTGTACATTTACATTTACCTTATAGAAGTGTACCTTAAATCAGTATAATTCTCTCTGGGGTAAATATCAGTTCAATGGCTTTCCTTCACAACTGTGCAGGGAAACTATTTTCTAAAAGACCACATGACGCGATTTAAAATCTTTGTCTTGGTTCCAACATTTCAAATTATGGGTTTCTTAGATATACAGGCACGTTACCAAATTTGAATTGTATCTAACCTACACAATTTTCACATTTTTGCTTTGTTAAAGAAGATTGCGAATAATTAAAAAAAAATACTTTTAAAATAATAGGAAAACAATAAATCAGCTTTTCATCTAATTTTGGTGCACAGAGAGACTTTAAGACACAATTGCAAGGCAGTAAAGCTACCAGCTCACATTCTGTAAGGAGCTGATTGGTTAGTATAGTCATGAAATGTACAAGTGGCTAAGAAAATGTAGTTTTCTGCTTCACTGCCAGTTATGATCTGGTTACTTTTAAGCCATTAAACTTCAAACTGACCTCAACTAGATGTGAAAAAGATTTACTATTGTTATTAAATAAGAGACCATGACGCAGACATTACATACATGAAAATATTAAAGCCTTTAATTTGGAGGCCAGTAAGAAAATTTAAAAAGAAACTCTCCCAGTCTCACTTTCCTGTCTGTGGCACAAACGCTGTTCATTAAAAATAGATTAAAAATGTAGACAAAAATATGACATATCGCCGCACTGTATCAAGAATAACACTCCACAGAATACAACACTAACCAAAGTTATGTTTGATTTAATTTTTCCTTTGTACAAGGCATCTCTCTAACTGCTTAAGTTACCTTCCAAGTACATCCCCTACTGTTGCTTTCGTAATTACAGTTGATCACTGTGTTTATCATGGACAGGGTGTTTTTAAGGTAAGGATCTAGTTTATATAAACTGGTGATGGTTTTCTAGTTCTTCCACTTAGATGCCAAAGCTGATTTTGTTACTGTTAATGAGCGAAGCAATACTTAGCCTGTTTCTTATAACGTTTGCCATGCTATGCAAGACCAGCATGTCCTGGCTCAGCAATGCAGGCAGAAGGGATCCACTGTGACCTTTGACCCGGGTGCTAGCCAAGCTGCGGTTCAAGGAGCACAGCAGGCCGAGGATGATGACGGTCACTCACCCAGGCCCCATGCTGCTGCGGCAGCCATGCGGGCCATCTTGGCTTGAGTGTCCTCGCTGACCAGTGTCCACTCTTCACAGCACTGCTGGTGCAGCTGACCCCTGGAACACACAGACAGCCAGTCTTTCAACCAGGGAGAGGAAACTCCACCAAACACAAATGAAGCAAAAGAGAAACCTAGAAGACACGTTCCACGTCTGGAACAAGCAGCTGGCTTCCTGAAATGCTTCAGGAAATATCTGGATGGGAAATCAGCAAGACTCACAAGATGGGCCTCCTCTCCTTTGAAACCTGTCTTACAGTATGTTCTTAGGTTAATAGCCAGAATTTTATATACCTGTATATTACAGGTGGTAATGCACATTAAAAAAATACAGCTTTTGGCACCATGCATCAGACTCAGCCTGGAACCATGATACTACTGTACATCTGGTGATGGTGAACCAGCGGAATAAAATGCATTCTTTTCAGGGCAATCGACTGCGAGTTGAAATGTGAGCTTAGGATAATTGATCATCACAATCAGGGCACCCGTCTTCCGTGAAATTATTTTGAGAGCTGAAATTCTCCGAGGGAATCGAGCCGACAACCGCATGAGCTCGAATTTGCGGTAAACGCAACCGAGTGATTTCCCAGCTGGTGAGCTCGTATAAAAGACTGTAATAACAAGAGGCTACTGCCGAGCGCAATGGACACACAGTTCACTGCCAGTGGAACAAGAACAGAAAAGGCCAGGCTAACGCAACAGATTAGTGCCATCTGTCAGTGAAAGAGATTAACGCTCGATTTTCAGAAAGTTGCAGTGTGGAGATCACCTGAGAACGGAGCACTCTGGACAGGACTACAATCCATCACAGGAGACAAGACAGGCACACACCCTGGACAGGACAGCAGTCCATCACAGGACACAAGATAGGCACACACTCTGGACAGGACTCCAATCCATCACAGGACACAAGACAGGCACACACCCTGGAGAGGACAGCAGTCCATCACAGGACACAAGATCGGCACACACTCTGGACAGGACTCCAATCCATCACAGGACACAAGACAGGCACACACAAGCCAGGGAGCAAGACCTGTGGGGCAGCAGTGTTGCCCACCATGCCACAGTGCTGGCTGTGTTTTTGTCAGTCGGGGGCGAATACAAAGCTCATTCAACACATGGCATGAGTGTGACATCCCTTGAGAGGTAAGAGAAACATCTAAAAGTGCCCCAGAGAACACAGGAATTGTGACAGCTGTGTAACAAAATAAAGCAAGAGGTCAGACTGTCAGATTTCAACCTTATAAAGCTCTTAAAAATCCACTCAGCATTACGTGAGCCAAAATAAAAAGGACTGTGCAGCCAAGTCTATAAGCACTGTAAAGCTATAAAAAACGCATGGTTACGTATTGCAGCACAACGATCACTTCCCAAACAGTTCTTGCAGGACAATGTTCCCCAGCTCCCAGGACCGCAAAGCCATCCGAAGGCCTGCGCTGCTCAGAGCAGAACAGCAGCTGTAAAGTCTCAGGGGTGCCTTTGGGGTTTACGGGCCAGACCTACAGTAATTCAAAAACCCCTCACGCATGGCATCACTGTACATGCTGTCCCTGTCCTGTCCCTGCTCCGCAGGCATGGCAACCACTTCTGTTTACAGGGCTTTGTTTTTTTCACTGAGCCTTTAAAAGACCGTAATGTCAGATTCCATCTGTGCAGGGCGCCAATAAAGTATGAGGAACTACAAAGCAGAAAGTCTTCTGGAGAAATCCGCTCGTGGCCAGACACTACTCACACGTGCTCTGTCTATCTCCATTAGACTCCTACAAAAACATTTTTTTTTATTTACACTCACAAAAGACCAGCTGCTCTACGTATCCCTGTCTAATTTACTTTAACTAAAGATAAATAATGATTCTAATTAATGACAGTGGATATTAGGACATATTTATGAGCTGGTTATATAATTGCTTGGAAAGGTGCTATTAAATAAGAAGAAACACCCCAACAATGTCAAAGGCTGACATTTCACAGAGAGCACTGTTGTGATCAGTAACGGTTACTGTTTTGCACTTACTCTTTCCTGTAACAGGTCTTAAACACCTACAACGAAACCATCGTTTAAAGCAAAACAGAAAGCAATGTATTTTCAATTAATGATTTTTATGGAATCGCCCTCACCAAATCTTATGTCATAACCTATCTGGGACAAGGAAGTCCGGAAAAGCTGTTCCTTTCTAAACAGGCAGTTGGAAAATAAAAACAAAGCCATTGCTTTTAGAGCATCAGGGAGGAGCTGCGCTTAAAAATACTGTAAAAAAAGCCGTCAACGTCTTGTATCACGTCAATGCCCTGATGAAACAGCCGACATGCCCAGTCCAACACCTGGTACTGGCAGGTGTCATTCACCACATGGCAACGACTAGGAACAATGTTAATGAGTGAGCTTTCAGGCAGGTGGAAACGAAGACAATTAAAAATGATTTGCAACAAAAATAAACCAAAACGCCCTTCCGCCCCCTCAAGGGTCAGATTTACTACAAAACAAAACATTTGCTTAAAGTGCTCCACATCTTCAGGACCAGGTGACTGGGGGAGAGTGGTCAGAGGACATGACGTGGGATTTCCCAGCTCTAGATTTACAGGTCTGGACCTGAACACCAGCCAGCCAATCACCTGAGAATTCCCCGGACACAGGGAGGATACTGGAGCAAGCGTTGGGAACGTTCCAATCGAGAGGCGGCAAGCCGCCCCCTCCAGCCTGTTTGGCGGTTACTGGATAACAGGATCCCAACCCGCTATGTCTCGAAAGAGCCCAGGGTAATGGCTTCAAGCTCATGGCTGGGCAGCGGCGTGCAGACTGCGCAGGCACGCGGGGCTGGCTGGGTGCTACTCACCACTCCCCCAGGGCCTCCAGGCAGCGCATCCGCCCCAGCATCAGCTCGGGGTCCTCCTTGTTCATGTCGATCTTCTTGTCGTAGGCCACCAGGGCGTCCTCCCACTCGTGCAGCTTTTCGTACCAGGTGGCCTGGATCTCCTGCAGGCGGAGACAAGGGGAGGAGTCAGCACCATGACCTCCCTCCTAAACCCGGGGTGTCAACACACGGATAACCTGAAGATTCCCCATTATGGAATTCCTGCTCTAATAACCACTGGCACAGTATGAGTTAACCGGGTATGGGGAAGGTGGAGTTGCATGGTGGTGCAGAGGTGAGTAGCATTGCTGCCTTGGGTTCAATTCTCGACCTGGAAGAACATGTAACAACCCCTATACAGACAGTAAGAGCAGCCTGAGAAAGACAGGGACATTAAGTACAATCCTACCCCCTTCGGGCAGGTCGGCCTTCAGGTGAGTCTGAAGGTGTGAGGACTGTTGTGGCCAACAGAGGGCTCAGAAAGCCATCTCATGGATGTTAAGCCAGCCGTGCAATTCCCTTGGGATAGAGGGACTCCATATCTTTGACGGGGTCTTTCCAAGACGTTGGGTCAGTGTTCACATGTTAGATTTTCTGTTTACATTTCCATGTGGCGCCCAGGACAGTGGCCAGCACTGCTCCTAATGGAGTGCAGCAGGCAACGGTCACGTGCCCACTGGAGACGAGATTTTTAAGAGCCGTGTTTTACATCACACGGAGAGATTCCACAGGCTGACATTTAGGAGGCTGTTAAACTGTGAAGCGAAGATTAAAGAAGGTTTCTACAGATTTATAGTCCTATTTCTAAAACAAGCCCCTGAAAGCAGGCCAATTAAGACCACTGAATGTCTTACAGATCCCGGCTTTCCAAAATAGTGTTACCACCCATGGACACATTAAAGGGAGGCTGCATTATGGCTTAAACAGGACCTTGATTGCTGATGGTAATACAGGACTCTAAATCCTAGCGGTGATGTAAGAGGACTTGAAAAGGCATGGGACACCCAATTATCCCTGCAGTAAACGTCCCTTTGAAGTTTACAAACATGGAAAACGACTATTTGTTAGTATATGATAAATACTGAAATAGAAAGTAGTGAGGTAAGATGAATATTGCTAAGCATAGAAAATCGCAGATGTTCAGTTTTCTACAATCTTCTCATCAGGTTGGGGCTATTTTTTATGGCCACTGAAAAAACATACAGAACGGGAGACGTACAGGGGAAACGGACTAGTTGCAGCAATAAAAATGGCTGGTTTTCTCATGGTGTATTACAAAATACCGATTACCTTCCTGCTCATGTTTTCCGTATGAGAATATATATTATTCTTTGAGGAAATATATTATTCTAATGCTGCGACTCCCTTTTACAAACGAGAACGGGGAAACTTGTGATTATTTGGATGACCTCTGGCTCTCCCTCAGGAAGCAGAAGAATAACAAAGAAATTAGCAGAGACACATTCAGACTGGGAGGTCCCAGGTCCCCTTGCACTTCATCTGGTCTTTAGTTTTAATAAATGAGCATCCAGGGGCTAATGAACAGTTTATGGACGCCCCACGTTGCCATGGAAACTAGCACCGGCCACAGGCTGTGTGGGAGAAGAGACAGGCAACGTCTCCATTCCTATCCTCAATGTGATCTGTAGAGGGAGAAAGTCTTACTAACAAGCTGATTTTCAACTGCAGGAAGTCAACAGAGCCTGCGTTTGAAACCCCGACTTATCCCAGAAACCCTTTCTCACACAGTTCCAAGGACTGGTTACATCTCCCAAGGGGAAACTGTTAGTTCCAACACTTGGAGTGATGCAGTGCCCTGTCCGAAAAAAAAACAGGGAGAGGGACAGAACAACAAACTCTGAATCGCAAGGGGTTTTCTCTGCCCACGTATGTATCAAAGTTGACTGCAGGGTGACGTGACCTTGCCCCGTGACGACCTCACAGCTGCTGAATTCCTGGCCCGCCGGGGCATCCCCAGGAGCAGGAATTCAGCTTGACGTCTGACCCCTGCCGATAGGCCTATTCCGTCCTGCTCAGCGGCGCGGCAGCCTCACTGCTTCGGCGCGGTTCCTGAGACGGAAGCGGCAGCTCACACACCACGCTGCTCGTGAAGCAAGAGCCTTTCAACCGCTTTGGCAGGACCGGGAGAGCGCACGTGAAGGCAGAGACTGTCATTGGCTGATGATATCAAACAGGAACAAGAATATTTTGGGGATAAATGTAAGAAGCTCCAGGCAGACAATCCTGATGCAGAGAGCTGTGGAGCTCAAAAAAGCGGGCTCAAGTGATACTCAACGCTCACTCTCAATCCCCACAAAACTCTCTCAATTATTAAGAATTTCCTTCAGAAATAGCCAAGAGTGTAGCTAACTCGTTCACACAATCCCTGCACCATGCACGAAGCATGTGTTAAATCTTTTTTTTCTTTCCTAGTTTCCTATTACTGGAAGAAAAAGAATTTGGATTGTTTGATTATGAACTCATCCCCTGAACACAAATACCTCCAAACAGGAAAAAAAAACACAAACCCAGAACAAAACAGGAAAAAAAAAGAATCAAATTAGAAATGTTTGCAAAATCACATCAGTCACATCTTGCACCGATTACACCCCAAACAAGAAGAAATCAGGTCTAATGAATAAGCCCTGTCAGAGCCTTATGTAACACATGTGTTCCGAATAATGTGTGTTGCCAAGACTTGCCTTCTGTTTGTAAATGTTATTTCAGACCTGGTCCGAGTTTCCTCTGAAAAAGCGTGAGCCAGCTATGGGAATTTACAGTAAGAGCAGGTGACACTACACAAAAATGCATTTATCTAAAAAAAACATGACTAGCCAACAGATTTGTATTTCAACATGAATGTGTTATATAACAGGTTGCGAAAAGCTCATGGCTTTCTGAAATAGCAGTACCATGAACACTTCACACCTATCGAATGACTCAAGCAATACTCATTTTATGGGAAGTCATTCATCACTACAGAGAAGGCTTTCCCACCACAAGAAAAACTTCTTATTACCTTGCAAATGATTCTGTTTTTTTAAACTGAGGCCAACAATTCAAAACAGCCTTGTGGTTCAGGACAGCACAAACCTTCCACATGTTTTATTACCAAATATTGTAATAACAAGTAGTCCCTAGACTTCACAATTCTTATAGGAATTACAGGGAAAAACACTTAAGAACAAAAAAGGAACCAGAATCTTTCTTCCAACTTTCAGTTGGCCAATGAAACAGAACGTGTCTCATGTCTGTGCCAAAGAAGAGTTCCCGATGAAGAGGACAAAAACTGATAGGTTTCTGAAGTCAAGACAACTGCTTCTTACTTAGAAACATATTTTAAAATGCTGTCTTATTGAATCATGTGCCCCCCGTACCCTAAAACTGACAAATTGTCACCAGTTATGCTGCTATTAATTCTAGAATTTCAGAGATGTAACTGTAACCTCCAAAGCCATTGTTATAACTGCGTTTTCTTATTGTTTACTTGTCTTATATACCTTAATTTTGGTACGTCACATTATAACACTTACTTCATTAGAACACTAATTGCGCAGTATATAACAGAGTTATCTATTGTACTGTGATGCTGCATTGTTCCACTAGAGATTAATAATCTCTAGTAGGTAATGTCACCTCTATGTCACCTTAGATAAAAGAAATATCGTATCCCACTAATGACCTGCCTTTCCAAAATTGTTTAAGTCTTTGCTAATGAGCATGGAAAACATGTTAAAAAGGTAAAGAGTTAAATACAGAGTCAGAAGAGGCTTAAACAGAAAAGGCCTACACAAATGTGGCTTATCCTAAAGGAAAGATATCCATCCATCTGTTTTCTAACCACTTTATCCCACACAGGAATAACTACACTAACTTTTACCAGCTTTTGAAAATGAGGGCACACGTGATCTCGGTGAGAAATATTGCTCTCTTGCTATACATCTGTTGAAATAATTTAGATACTTTTTAAGTAACGACCAGTTCATCAGACAAAGTAAGTAAGATAATTTCTCCAAGTTGGAAAGAGGCTCCAACTAAAAAGGTGCTTAATATTAAGGCTCCTCGCTGCTATGCTTTGATCACAAATAGGATTTTCCAATGAGAAAGGTACAGGATTTCATTCAGTGTCCCCTGTCTTTACGGTGTCGATGGAGAAAGCTTGCACACACAGTAATCACACAGGACAGCCATTCGGGTTTTACAGAGGGTGTTGAAGAGTGAGCACAAATTAAATCACACCTGCATACTACCTGCCAAACAGAAACCGGCTGCTCAACAGATTTTCCCTTAGGCAGACACGGGAAAAGAGAGCATCAGGCCTGTTTGGCCTGCAGATGGATGTTACCTTTGATCTGATCTGGGCCTTATTCATCAATTTTAATTTAATCAGTAAATTACTGATTATTATAGGCATTTGCAAATTCACCTCAGCAAAAAAAAAAATCATACAGGTGGTCTTGTATGCAAAGGAAAGGTGAAAATTGATGAAAAACAAATGGAAAAAGTTCACCGTCGGCTCTTACCAGCTCTCCAAAATGCTTCATGGCATACTCCAGCACCCCGGCCGCTGCCTCTGGCTGCTGCAGTTTGTTATTGATGCTGCAAAGACACAGAGATCACCACGGTGGGTGTCAGACACAGCACAGCACCGCTGCACACACACATGAACATGAGCACCCCCCCCCCCAAACAAGAGGAGGCTGTTGTCTGGTCCCATCTAAACCATTCGGTAATCAGCACTCAGTTGATCCCAGGATCCTCATCCTGCTGTTTGTTCGGGTATTGGCTTCAACAACACAGCTGGTTCGCTGATTTCAACTCCCGCCACTCTTTTTGTAGAGAAATGCCTCCCGTTCTCAATTTTATATGCACTTTCACGTAACAAAAACAACCAGAATTGAAATACAAAGGTACTGTCTGGAACAATCAAGACCGAGGAGCGTAAAACCAAAGAGCTCTTCAGATGGAAAGACTGCCTCAGAGGACAGAGAGAAGGCCCTAAATATGAAAATCTACCAGTTTTCTTGCGACTAAAATCTGGTCTAAACCAACTGGTCAACTCAACTCGTCAGCCAAACACAAATTCCAAAGTTGTTCGCTGATGGTGTCTAGCAAACAGAAACCCACCACCAAGTCATTAAGGGTGAAGAATTCGCAACTGGCAATTCATATATACCTGGTTAAAATGTCCTACCACCCACAAATCTTCATGTTTTCAGGACTTTATGTTTTGTAGTGAATAGCAAACACTTCACAGAAGGGCTCATCGTTCAGTGAATGAAGTTTTTTGGCTGTGGACAATGTAGACCTCAAGCTAACGATCTCTGGGCATTTTAACAGCGCAGGTCATAGACAGTCCATTGAGCCCCTGCTAATCTGAGAGGCAGACTGTCGCCTCAAATCCAACTTCACAAAGTGAGGTCCAGCTTCAACGGGGTTTGATGTGGGATTTTACTGCTTTCAAAGTTCTCGACTCAGGTGCTGGCAGCCTCACTGCAACGTCAATGACCACGTTTCCCACGATAATGATCTGTACAATTCTGTCTGTCCCCCGTAAATGAAAAACAATGATGATTCTGAGGACATAATATTACAACCACTACACATCTCTCAGCTTCTTTCTTTAGAAGAAAATCGCCAAATTTTATGATAGAACAAAACTGTCCAACAAAATCTGAAAGGATTTATGGATTCCAAAATTCAATTTAAAATAAAAGAGTAAAACGCGTGCCTCGGAGCGGAAGCCATATCATCTTCTGCAAGACAAACCGTCCATCATCTGCTTCCCCGTCAAGGATCTATGTAAAACAGAGACAGAGACGAACATCTGGAAACGCTCTCCTTGGTTTTGCAGGAGGCCGAGGGGGTCCCATCGCCAAAGTGGAGCTCCACGAGGTCGCCTGACGGCACTTCCCAGAACGAGGCAGCGGCCGGGCCGCTCCTCCGCTCCCCGCTGGGCTTGATAAACGCCACCCCCTGCCGCGCGCGCAGTGAAATATCGCCACTCCGGCCCCCAGCGTGAGACAGCGCTGTCCGCTGTCAAGCACCACACCCTCTTCCATCTGCTAGCGGGCAACACACACGCGCGCACTCTCCTGGCAGGACTTAAGAAGAGAGATTCGAAGCACCGCTGCGATTTATGGGCCTTCCCGCGCTCAAGATGGATCGCTGAGGTGGGCCTTGCTTCTCGCCATTAAAGGGTTTTTTTTTCTCAAAGTTCTGGGTCACAGCCCAGCAAATCGCCTCAAACTAGGACACGTCTGGTCCTCTTGATGACTCTGACGAAATGCAGTTAATTCAGTCCAATTTCTGTCAGCCCCCACCTATCTGCCAAAGCTTTTCTCAGCAGATTTCATTCTAGACTGGATGTGTCCGTGCCCAAGAGGTGAGGATTCACTGTGGAATCACTGCAGTTTTTTACAAAAACCATAAAACTTTGGGTACATCAACCTGATTGCCATAAGCGGTACTTTCCTGCCAGGATGACTCATTTTTGCATAAGAAAACTAGATAATTCAGATGTGTTCATGCCCAAGCTCCTTTTCTTATTGTTCAAAAATCATTTTAAAAATGAAGCATCTTTATGACAACAAGCCTGGCTGTTTCAAGTCTTTAACACCACACATATGTAGTTTCATTTCCTATGCTCTTACAGAAAGCAGCTGTGACTGGAAACCAAAAACACGAAAGCTGCTGGTATAGACGACACCGGTCAATGCAATGTTACTTAAGCACCATCCGCCTCACTTGAAACAGCTCTGTTTTATTAATGCAGGTGGTAATGCTCGCATCTCTCAGATCCCAGCAGTTTCTAAACTACTCTAAAAGAAGATCATCCTACTCTACCACTGCTAAAGACAAATCCCCAACTTCAGCATTCCTCACCCTGTCTCAATGAATTACACAATAAAATCAATAAGAACTACTTATTTGCCCTTTTGTAATATTTACCGGAAAAGATGTGACTTCTGCTTGAACTATATTTGTCAAAGATCTGTCAAGGCTCTTTAGGGAAGCACTGGAAGGCAAAGAGGGAGCCCGGCTTCTAGGAATTGGTTTGGCAGCCTAGGCCAAAGTATACAGGCAAAATGCCTGTTGGAAAGATGCAGGTAAAAACAGAGTTCGCATCCTGTGACACATCCTCTTTCATCAAGCCATGATTGCATGATTGCACATCGCTCTGTTTTTTCTGGCCCATGAGCAGTTTTTAAAGTAAGCTTTAAACTTGGACTCAGGGCAGGTTCTCTGAAGGTCTGCTTGTTACTGTAGAAATAGTCACCATCACTGTGTCACCAGAACTGCAGGAAACAGTACAGATTAGCAGAGGTAAGTTGAGCTATACTATGAAGGATTGTCTTCAAACAGCTACTACATTGGTTGTACACAGAGGCCAAACTAAGGCTTTAGAGCATTAAAATATGTATTTCTATGACACTGAGAAGAGAATTTTCTAAGGGGAACCTAAAGCTGTATTAAGGCTATACACATTAAACCAATGCAGGCAGCAGAGCTGTCTGTGACTAAGAATGTAAGAATATTTTTAATGTGGCCACCAGAAAATGTTAGGTGCCACATACTGTGCTCACCAGAGAAAATGTTGCAAGAACCACAGGTCCTGAACTAAACTTGTCCTCAACTGTCACTAACGGAGCAAAAACAGGCCCACAACTACTGAGAACGAGCTACGTAAAACCACATTCTGCTGCTGGCATTTGATGAACAGACTGAGGAATAAAACCAGAGGGGATTTTGGAAGAGGGCAATTTTCTCCTGTATGGCGCTATCAGATTATGAGTGATGGTAGTGTAATATGGGCGGAACGAAATGTGTGTATATGTATTGCCGTAGGACTACTGTTTGTTTTTATTGTGTATTTATGTTTATGATGAGTGTCGTTTTTTGTAGTTTTGTACGGTGATGACAAAGACTTTTGGTTGGACAATAAAAATATATCTTATACCTTCAACGTCAGAGTAGCTAAGCAAAGACCTGTAGAAATAGATTTCTGAAGGGCCTGGGCCTCAAGATAATTATTCCAACATCTAAACTGTCCTGGACAGGGTCATCAGCCTCAAGTCAGTACAAGAATGGCAACAAAACTCCATGCAGAAACGGGCCAAGCATCTGCTGATGGTATCACTTGGCTGAAAAGGCCCAGATGTTCATTATGAAGCTGACTTCTTCATGATAAGTGACATAATGAAGGCAAAGCAGACCTAGGGGGACTTTTCTGTCGCCTGCTCCTAACATCTGGATTCCAGCTCTCTTGTAAAACATCTCCAGATGACAGGAACCTACTGAATGTGCTGCTATACACCAACACTACAAAACCTCACTCAAAGCTGTTTCTCTGAGCCAATCATAAACGCATACCTTGCAAGGATTATCCAAATCTATTACATTACCCTGTGTTTTTCTTGAGATTATTGTAATCATTACTTGGATTGATGGATAGATTACATGGGCACTGGTTGTGGGAATAAAGTTGGATCAAATACCCAAAAAAACTCTGTCCTTACTTTTGTTTCATTCAGATGCTTTTTAAATCACTGCACAGCAGCCTGAAACTGAAATGTTACCAGCACAACAGTGAATAACACTCTTTGGAGTTTTGATTTGATTGTGTGTATCACTTTTGTAACACCTAAGCGATTTAGCTTGTAATCTCTGGGCAATTTAAATGTGGTACAGTACTTATAAATAACTCTGCAGTGATCTTAAATACCGTTCACTGTTTGGAACATCTGAACTGCAAGGGACAATGATTCTCTGAGATGGTACAAACCATCTGCTGGTTTCTGTGCTGAATTTCATGCTGCTGCCCTTGTGGAATCTCAGACTGGGGTGCAACATTTGAAAAAACACAAACCTTTTTAAAAAAAAGAGTTTCACTCAATATGTAGATATCACCAAGTACATATACTGGTGTTTCGAAAATATTAAACAACACAAACAACTCTTTTCAGGTAGTGTTTTTCATGCCAAATGAGGGTTTATGTGTAAGAGAGGACTCACTTCACCCACCCCTGAAATGCAGCCCTGACCTGTGTGACATGAGCCACGTGCCACAGTGTGCCAGTAGACTCACCGCACACATCAGCTGAAGGCCAAAACGTACAACTCCAGCATGGACTGCAGTGGGGGGGGGTTGCTTTTGGTTCCCCAAAATGAAGCTCAAAACAGATCTTTGTTCTGTTCTGACTGGACAGATAAGTGTAGAGGGGCTTTACAAGGGGCTTAATCACATTCCCCAATCCCAGAGGAGAAGATGGAATCAATGAAAAGAGGCTGTTGCACCGACTCAGACACAGCACAGGCTTGAAAAATGTCCTGAGTCTTTGCGAAAATCCAGTGGATTTATTATTCTTTTCCCCCCAGGGCTGTTCCAGTGGACCTGGCCTGTTTCTGGAGTCTCATACAAAGACAGGGAAGCAGGCCTCCACGCAGGTGCAGCGCCAGGGCCGGAGGTAACACGACCACGGAACAACCACACGCGGGACGCGGTTTCCGTCGCGCGCCGCGGAGAACTCCCCCCAGGTTTGACTTGTCAAAATCCACACGGGGAGCGCTCGCGTCCCCCATGGCCTGCCGCCGCGGAG